CTGAAAATTATGGCAGGGACCTGATTATTGACCAGCTGCATGCTCCGATTTCCAGCTTCAGGCTGGGATCTCCCAACGACACAGAGAGCCATTTTTAAACCGTTTAAAAAATGATCACATTCTCTACATCGGCAATAAACAAGGTGGAAACTACCGATACGCAAATGGTAAATGGATTCGATAGTAGCAGAAGTAATTTGGGGTTCAGTGTCTTGCTCAAAGACACTTCAACATCTGGACTGGAGATGCTGGGAATCAAACTGCTCAACCTCCAGTTAGGGAGACAACCTGCTCTTCCTCCTGAGCCACAGTCACCCCACAAGAACAGTCATAGAAAAAGAAGCCAACACAAATGCACAAATTGTTCCTGAGGCTTATTGTTCTAACAAAGGGAGCATATACTGTACGTATTTACATGCAGGTTCTGAGCTTTACTATTCTACAATTCCAGTTTAGCACAGTGTGACCTTGCTTGGTGAAACAGCCTCACACACCTTTCCCTAGAATATAACCTTGAGTGATGTGGTGATAAGTACAGATATGCCTTCCCAGTCATTATGCAGCAGTGTGTACACATGCACTCAGCTGACTGAGGGTTAATGATAAATGCACGGCAACACAACAACATAACTCGCTTCGTTTTGTCTTCTTCTACAGCTACAAATTTTCAGACTCACTGCACAGCCTGGCAGCAGAGACACCGCCTGCTCAAGGTTTTGCACAAGCTTCACCCTTCGAACAATTAGAGAAGGCCAAAGTCAGAGGCAGGACCTCACTGCTGTCAATTGATACATGAACTCGCTTCTGGTCTACAACTCCTCCTGCACCAAGGCTTCAAGCTAGTGTTAGGTGCTGGAAGATGCCACTGTGGTCTAAAATCCAAACCAAAGTCATAAAACCACAATTTGCATTTGACAGGGGGTTATGTGCCACACAGTTCCTCAATAAAATATAAAGACAGAGTCAAGACAACAGGTAGAACATATTTGTGCATCTATTACATCAACTACACAACATAACCAAATACCAATAAAAGCAAAACAATATTTTAGACAATAGTGTGCTTTCAACTTTGTGGCGACAGTTTGGGGAAGGCAATGCCCCGTGTCAGCACAAAGCTCGGACTATAGCTCGGTTTTATAGCCTGCACAGGGCTATGACCTCAACCCCATCCACCACCACTGAAACTAACTGGAACACCAACTGCAAGCCAGGCCTTTTTACCCAACATAATCACTGATGGGTTTGTCTCTGAATGGGAGCAAATCCCTGCAGCCACGTTCCAGCATGTGATAGAAAGCCCAACACCAGAGGAGTGGACGCTGCTGTAGACCGGACTAACAAGCAGACTGGACTAACAATGTCGCTATACTTTAGTCCATACAGCGTCCATCGCTTCTTCCCTTCCCTCTGGCTGCCTCGCCCCTTAATAAATCTTTTTTTCCAACTGTTCACGCTCAAACCTCTTTTCCAGTTCAGTAGCTCTCAGTCTTCTTTCATTCACCTTTTTCTCTCTCGATCTCTGCCTCCCTCACATTATCACTGCTTTACTGCCTACAGGCAGCGCTCACAGGGGACTATAACCCCAGCTCATATCGCACAACAACATGTAAGGCCTTCATAAAAAGCTCCATTTCCTGACTACACAACTGGAAAAGCCACATCCATAAAACCATGGTGAGCCTTTAAAGTGGACATTCTGAGTAGACCAGTTCAGGTTCAGTGCTTAGCAAACGTTCTTTCCCACTGAACTGAAAGAGAAACAGATTTTAAAATATCTTAAAACATGCTCCACTACACGATTCTTTGTGGCCTTTGGTGTAGTGTTGATATGCATCACATCTGGGATGGCTCATGTGCTACAGGACACTGCAAAAATACAGGTTATTATAACAAGGCCAAATGCACACCGGTCATACATACTCTCTATAGGATTATACAATATTATATAGCTTCCAAATACATTTGTATCGGCTCAAAAGTCCAGCATCAGTCAGTCAGTCTTTTTAATAAAAACGGGGGGATGCTGAGAGTTCATAGTCACTGGGCAATAACAAACAGGCTGCACATATGATGACCTGAGTCCTACAGTGCATCTGCCAGAATGCATTCTAAGAAAGGCCTGGTTAGATAAGAGCTGCATTCAGACCAACCTAAGCCCTGCATAAAAGAAAAACAAAACAAAAAAAACAGAGCACTCTCATGCATTTTAATGGAACCAATGTGACAACTCAGAAGGTTCCAAATAAGCAATGCAGAGCTGCCTTCAGGCAAAACAGATTAACCAAACTCAACTTTTACTTCAACACAGCATCAGCCAGGAGGGTGTTGCATTGGTTGATCAAATAAAAGAAAGCACACAAATCCTGCTGGATTACTTTGCAACATGCATGCTGTATTTCAGCTATTTACTGATACAGGTTCATGCAGGTTTTCGACAACAACCTAGTTCAACCTCTGTGAATCTGTGAGACTTGGTCTAGTAAAATTCAGACCAGTTCATCTACGTTTGATCTAGAGGAGAGGTGCACACCTCAGCCTGTCTGTGTCATGATATCCACTCACTACACCCCCAATCAGAAATCTAGCAGACACAGAGAAGCAACCTCACTCACACTCATCACACCGCATCAACGGATTTTTTTGGTTTTGTTTCAACAAACAGGCCTGAACCACGGTTAAAAAACAAGGTTCTTTCCACTCCCTCCATCCAATGCTCCCCTCTGTGGTTAATGCACACAAACACACACCTCCGGTACTGAGCTGCTGATAGACACCGCCAACCTCCTACAGTAAAGCACCCGCAGAAGCTCATCTTCCTGCAATTCATCAACTCAGAATGAGTGGTTTGTGTTGAGAGAAAGCCTTTTCAAGTCTCTGAATGAAAGCTTCTGTCTTTCACTCTCACACACACACAGACAGCATCAGCTCATACTTGTGTGAAGAGATAGGCTACTTCAGAAAGGGTTTTCCATTATAGGATCCTACGAAAATGTTTAGAGCCAAGTAATGCTCGTCATGGGTTCTGTGTTTGGTTCCACTGCCCTCGGCTCGCTTTGGAGGTGCGTTCTGGGAGCTACATTTCAGCACACCTCAGGAGGTAGGACTAAAACCAAGTTTCAGGAACACCAGTGGGGAGGGGGTGCATGTGCACAGAGCAGTCACTCATGATTGGTTAAATGCCTGCTCTTCACACCATAATCATTAGCATTAAAAGCAGGGTGTGTAAGGAGGCACTTACTGTATACTGTAAGCGGACCACGGGCAAAGTGACTGTCCACGTCAACCCAGGAAGTTAGGAAGCGCAGAGTACGGGGTATATCACTGGTTAGGTTCCAATGGCAGAAATGCAGCAAGAGTGGACACACACATTTAAATGTCAGTACCCCAATAGCGACAGCTCTTAGAGGGCTGCGCCTATACTCGTAGAAGCTTGGGTTACTGTACATAACCATCGTTTTCATGATACCATCTACTGACAGTTGTTAGTTTAGGCTATAGGATTCGCCTCTGAAATGGGAAATTAGTGTGTATGAAGTACTGATATAGTAAATTAAAAATCCCTTCATAGCTTTTTGTATTGCTGTATATTGCAATACAAATGTATGGTTGCCACAAAATCCCATGGCACACCAAGACCTTCCTCACGGAACACCAGTGTACCGCAACACACCATTTGGGAACCACTGAGCTAAAGAATCACAATCTAACATTATTATTAGGCTACATAGAGTTTTCAGTGTTGCTGCTTAAATACAATAATATCTGCACCTTTACTGAAAGCATGAAATGTATCTAAATCACTGAAGTAAATAAAATATAAGGCAAAAGACAGAAAGTACCAGTAGTCGATACTGTAGTTGCCCCAGTATAAAGACAGAATATTTTTCCCCAAAAAAACATTTAAAAGGTCACTTTTCCCAAATGACCAATTATTAAAATGATACAATAAACATTCACACTTGTTCCCATGGAGTTTATGAGACAACGGGCCCCTGGGTGCAGACCTATAAAAGGACCCCACAAAACGCACATTTGAAAGTGACTGGCAGTTCTGTGTTTCTTTTTAGTCATTTTGCATCTACATTTAGTTGTTGAGCATCTCTTAATTTGCATCTCATAATATTTTTTGGTCTACTTTTTTGCTTGTTTATTGTCTATAAGGTCGCTCTGTGTCTGTAGTTATTTTGCAGCTCTTTGTTCTTGTTTAGAGTTTTTTGGCAGTCATGTTTCTGTTTTGTATCTATTTTTACTCTTTTTGTGTGTCTTTATAGTCGTTTGATTGACTTCCCAGCAAAAATTATCCTGTCACTTCATACAAATGCTGAGTTCTAGGGGCCCTGAACCCTTGGGTCCCCGGGTCTGTGTCCAGTAGGCCTATTCAGTAATCCATCCATGCTACTTCTTAACAGCATCTGCCCATTTTGATAGTCTTAATTTAAGATATCAGTCTCTCACATTCTACCGATATAAAACAGGTTCAGGAGCAACACCTCTTTCTAGAAACAACCACTGTTATTCTCAACAATCCACAACTACTACTTTCTTCTGAAGACCTCCCTATGAAAACTGTTGACAGGGTGGTGTGTGAACCCCACCCCCACTCCACAGTCTCATTGGACAAGGGCTCCCCCTCCTCACATATCCTAAATTCACCCCTCTGCACAGTCTTTCGGTTGTTGGCTGGCCCCCACCTCCATAGGAAATGAACGTTAGGAAACTTAAACCGTAATGGAGAGGAAACAGAATCAGTGAAGTTTAACGCCACTTAGACACAGCAAAAAAAGCAAATGACAGCCTTGACACCGATCATGTTTTCCACCTGTCCATTGACACATTTATTAACTCTATATAAACCAAATATGTAGCTTCTAATGTATCTAATCCTAAAACATGACAGCTAGCTTATGGAAAAAAATGTCTTAGCTAACTGCTGCTGGAGTTAGCGTGTGGCGCTCACGTAGCAAACACACTTTGCTGTTTGTGAGTGCATCTCTCACCTTGTTTCCTCTTAGTTTCCGACTGAGAGATGTTGTCCAGACGAAAAAAAAAACGCGCCCCAAAACACAACAAAAAGTTTAAAGGTAGATTAGATAGCTCGGACTAGTTTGCGCCAACACTGCTCGGGACTTAACGGGGATAAAGGGTCATTGCCCAGCAGTGAAGTGGCATAAGTACTTGATCTTCCCCTCACCGTCTGTTTCTTTCTCTCTGAAAAGGCGGGACTAGCTCCACAGTAACGTCACCTAGGAGCTGTTTACCGTAATAGACAGGACAGTGCGACCTCAAAATCACGCCGTGCACCGTTAAATAATAAAGCAAAGCTGCCAACATTTCTTTAAAAATTAGGATGGATAAAATAAGAACAGTTGACTGTTGGAATGGGCGGTTGTGGATGTGACTTTCATGGAAGCCAATCTGTACCTGGAGAATGCAAAATTAAAAACAAGAACCCAAACTTTTGACACTTATCTTATAACTTTGATTTACCACGAGTTTCATTTTTTGCGATTTTTTTAACAGTTCATTATTTTGGGCATCCCTACAAACTTAGGATTGAATTTAACATTAGGTTTGTCTGTTTTTGTCATTTCCCTTTTCAATTCCATACATTTAAAATGATATAAAAGTCCCTATACATTAACAAAAAAAACTGTTTGTGCATTTTTAATGAATTTTTGTATTCACACACACACACAGAGACTGTTTATACATAACTGTACTTTGTAGTTGAAAATGATGGGAACTGACTCCCATTTCAGTTGTTCTCTTTCATCCTCACCATAGACTACTGATCCCGTTTTTAGAGCTCTTGTGGGAAAACAAAAAGAGCAGAGGTTAGCCTTAAGAATGAGACAGCAGATGTTCAGATTTAACTGAGGCTGATATTGCCACTTCACATTTGTCCTTCACACAGAGGTTAGAACACACAATGCAACATTATAACAACACTACCACAAAGAAGGATCATATTAGACTGAATTTCAAAAGCAGCACCCATCAACTATAAAAGTGGTCTGTCTGGTAACTGAAAAACAAGAAAACCCCGAAATGATCTGGGCCCAAACTGCTGGAATATTATGCCAAACATGGGAAAAGTTCAGTATGACTGGTTACATGATTAATAACATGTGCCAAATGTTGAGCTGAATATCCACATAGTTGGATACCGGCTGGACACAGACATGTAAATTTTGAGGTTGTACATCTAACAAATCTAAAAAAGCAGTCAGGTGTATCTTTATATTTAAGTAATCAATTTTAGAAGTAAATTTGCTTCACTGAGATACCTCTATATTATTTCCCAGTACATGAAAGGTAAAAGAAGCATGTCTTCCTGAACAGCCCTTCAGCCAACTACTCTTCTTGTCCCCCAAAAGAGATTTAGCTAAATAATAACAATTTGTATAATGTTGAGAACTACAGTATATAAAGACAGGAAGTGTATAGGAATCCACAGATAAATCATAATACAAAAACCTGTTTGTTTTTATACCCATTGGTGCTGAGACCAAGCAAAGCCACTTCACATGCACTCAATATTAAAAATGAATCAGGCTTAATGAGAAGACGAACCACGTCCTTCCATTTCCTATTGCGCTTGTGTGGCACCAGATCTTTTAGCTGGACACAATGGAAGTCTTTCAGATCTATTATATTGTATTCCATTTACATCAAGATCATCTAAATCATAGGGGGTGCCACTCGGCCTATGTATAATACCACCTGTAGCTCTGGAGGAGTTATCAGACTTGCAAGAAAATAACCCTCTGCTGCATAGTGTCTGACTATTCTTTTTTTTTTTTTTAATTAAATCCGCCTTTCTTAAAT